CTGGGGTGCCTGGCCAGCCTGGGTGAGGGGCTGATGGGTGTTTGCAGCTGGTCACACCCCGTTCAGGGTGGGGGTCCCCACTGGGGTGCCTGGCCAGCCTGGGTGAGGGGCTGATGGGTGTTTGCAGCTGGTCACACCCCGTTCAGGGTGGGGGTCCCCACTGGGGTGCCTGGCCAGCCTGGGTGAGGGGCTGATGGGTGTTTGCAGCTGGTCACACCCCGTTCAGGGTGGGGGTCCCCACTGGGGTGCCTGGCCAGCCTGGATGAGGGGCTGATGGCTGTTTGAGGGGCTCTTATTGAGACTATGGTGCCAGCCCCCCGTCACCCTGCCCATCTGTCTGTCTGGCCTGCAGTTGTCCTGAAAGACCATGGCATGGTGCCCTTCATCAAGATCTTCCTGGACGATGAATTTGAGGGGCTGTTATTGAGACTACGGTGCCAGCCCCCTGTCACCCTGCCCGTCTGTCTGTCTGGCCTGCAGTTGTCCTGAAAGACCACGGCATGGTGCCCTTCATCAAGATCTTCCTGGACGATGAGTGGTACCGGGGAGCCTCCCTCAGCATCCTGGAGCAGCTCTCAGCCATCAACGCCGAGGAGTACATGAGCATCATCGTGGGCGCGCTGTGCTCGTCCACGCAGGGGGAGCTGCAGCTGAAACTGGATCTCCTAAAGGTGACGTCCTCTGTGCTGGGCTTCCCACGGACAGGTAGCAAGTGACACCATGGGCCGTGCATTCAGTCAGTCAGGTGGTCACTGTATTACACACAGGGTGGCACCAGCTGCAACAGCAAATAACCCCATGCCCTTGTAGCGGACACTTTAGACATTTCTTTCTTATGTGGTCCCATCAATGGCTGGGAAGGGCGTCATCTGGGGACAGCTGCCCCCGGGCATCTAGTCCAGCCGCAGATGCAGGCCTGGAGCATGGAGAATCGCACAGTGCGTCCTGCAGGCTGAGAGCGGGCACAGGGTAGCTTCTGGCCAGTGTTCTTGGGGCAGAACCATGAGCAGGCCTCCCCGTGGCCTCAGGAGGGCCGGGGAATATAGTCTCCGGCAGCAGCTGCTTCCTGGCACCCCGTCCCACGGGAGTGGAACCCCAATCAGCGGCGCCCCAGCAGCTGTTATGGTGCCTCGCCAGCATTCAGGGTGCCCCTGGCAGGTCCCAGGCCCAAGGCAGAGCCTGTGACAGCGTCCAGGGGCCACAGCCCTCACACCCGGAGCTCCTGCCACGCTCCAGGAGGGCGCACAGGGGAGCCTGAGCCGCAAAAGGGAACAGAGCAGTCAAGGTGGCAGCGGGCTCAGGGGGGTAGAACCAGGGTCGCCTCTGGGCAGTGGAGAGGGGTGTATGCTTTTCTCTTTGGGGTATTTTGGTCCCCATCAAAGTGTCTTTAAAGCAGTAGAGACGATATCAATGGCACCGCCACCCCCTCTCTGCCCTGCAGCCGTCACTGTTCGGTGGCTGTTCCTGCTTTTATTCCTCTCGTCTTTGTGGGTTATGCCTTTAGAAAAATCGTTCTTTTCTTACGTGCTGCTTAAGAGAAGAGCAGACAAAAATGCAAATACCCCAGGAGGCTGAGCTTGGAGCCTCTCGAGCATTTGCAATACAACCTCATAAAATACACGCTCGTGTGTCAGTAACACGCCACATTGGACAGCACAACCTCATATAAAATACACGCTCGTGTGTTAGTAACATGCCACACTGGACAACATAACCTCATAAAATACACACTCGTGTGTTAGTACACGCCACACTGGACAACAAAACCTCATAAAATACATGCTCGTGTCAGTGACACAGCACATTACCACACTGGACAGTGTAACCTCATAAAATACACGCTCGTGTGTCAGTAACACACCACATTGGACAGCACAACCTCATAAAATATACACTCATGTGTTAGTAACATGCCACACTGGACAGCACAACCTCATATAAAATACACACTCGTGTGTTAGTAACATGCCACACTGGACAACATAATCTCATAAAATACATGCTCGTGTCAGTGACACAGCACATGGGACAACACGGTTCTGTGTGAAATGCACGTTCCTGTGTTAGGAGCACACCACACTGGACAGCACAGCCCCGTGTGAAATACACGCTCGTGTGACGGGAACACAGCACCTGGAGGACTGGTGAATGAAAAAAGAAAAGTTGCTCTTAGAAAATGAAACCATCGGCCTTACTGATCAATGGCCATTTACTCACGTCGGGAATGAGTGAGCTTGCTTTGCCCTTGGCCCCGGTGGAGCCAGTGTCAGACGCGGAGGAAGCGCTCCTGTCAGGACGTGGCCTAAAGGTGACACATGCCCCTGACTTCCCTGTAGCTCACAGGTGACAGGAAACAAGAGGGTGAGCTAGTTCCAGGGCCAAACACCATTGAAGATGATTTATATGAAACCAAAATGGAAAGGTAAGTGCCATTTGAAAGACACCAGCACGCGGAGTGAAGTGGAGGGGCTGAAGGGGCATGTAAGGAGGGTAGGAGCAAGGCCTCCAGCCCCCATGACGGTTCACAGCTGGGAAGGGCCTTCCTTCACGTGGTCCCCTCACCTCGTAATGTTCCCGCAGACGCACGTCTGAGAGCTTCTGACACTAAATGGCAGCGTGGGGTTTGCACCTAAGACGAGTGAGTTAAAGCCTGTGGCCGCTCCTCCGTGCCACGCTGCTTGCTGCACTCCTCTCTGTGCGTGTGGCTGGCCTCACCCGCCTCACTGTGCCCAGGAGCAGGGCAGCTGGGCCCCGGCAGCCAGATCCACTGGGCAGCTGGGCCCCGGGAGCCAGGCAGCGGTCTCCACTGGGCAGCGGCCGGGGTCTCCGTCTGTGTCTGACATGGACAGTCGGTCAGATCTAAGAGAAGGAAGTTTGGGTTTACTTTGCTCAGAGAGTCCGAGTGTCCAGTTCGTCGTAGGAGAGCCCTGCTTTGCTCATGGAAAGCCCATCTTGTTTCCTCTCTCGCCCAGAGGAGCCTATGGGAGTGCCGCCTGGGTAGGAGGACTGGGTTTCTAGCATTACCCATGTGAAGCCATTGTGGTGTTTTACAGATGCAATATCACCGCAGCATCGCACTATCAGGAGAGCCGTCAGGGACAAGCACTGTGCGCTGTTTTAACAGTCGCTCCCGGGCCGATGCTGCCTTCTCCTGGGTGCCGGGCGCTGCGGGGTGATCGCGGGGTGCCTGGAGCTGCCCTACTCTCCCAGGCGCAGGGCTGGCAACATCCTGCCGTTGCAGGGGGTGGTGGGGAGGGTTGGGGCCCCAGAGCGTTCCAGACTCAGCCACCACGGAGTCATGTGAGCGCCGACCCGTTTGCTGAAATCTGCTGTGGGATTCGCATCCCCTGAGTCATCTGGGGAAGCCGCTGGGGCTTCAGAAGCAGGTGGACAGTGAGCTTCTGCTGGAGGCCCTTTCGGAAGTAGTGGACACTGCCAGAGCACTTGCCTGCCAAGTGGGTCACACGTCACATGAGGGGGATGCATGGAGTGGGGGGTCCTCGAAGGCAGTGCCGGCCCCCCAGGAAGGTTTGCCTTCTCTGAAGGGTGACCTCAGGCGTCACCCTTCCCTGCATTTCCCGAGGCAGAATCTGCCAGCTGCCCCCGAGGAGAAATCCCTCCAGAAACACCCACTTTAGGGCAGGTGTGGCCGAACCCAGTGGCACTTCCATACCAACACAGACCGCACCACCGAGTCCTGGCAAATGATAACTGAGTTAAAGCGTAATGCAAGCAAATGAATTTCCCCTCCACAGCAGGTGGGACCATGATTGGGTTATGCACAAATTCAGATTGATTTGCTAATATACATTTAGCCGCTCAAGTCTGAGCTTAATCACATTACCTCACCGATCCTCCAGCATGACACATGGAAAATTATGAGGAAGAACAAATAATAGAATGTGAAATAAATCCTGTTAGTCCTAACGTAGTTAGCGCTCTGCAGCAGACATCCATTTTATAGATTCAAGCTGGAGGAATACTAACTCAGAGCCGATGACACGGTAACTGAGTTAAGGAGGAGAAAATGGGCTTAACGCTGACCTTTCCTGAAACGTGTCAACCCCAGCCTGATTACTTTGACTTCAGCTGATTAAATTTGCTCCCTGCCGCAGACTCGCCCGCCCTGGTGATGCATTGTCACGCAAAGTTGAGTGACAGTAATGGAGACCCTTCTCCTGGGCCCCCCGTTCCTGACAAATTGTTTCCTGAAGTAGCACAGTATTTATTTCCCTTTATGATAGAAATGTTTCTCTTTAGTTGCTATGAAATTAAGCCTTTGTAATTGGATTTTGAACTCTTTACTACATGACTCTGCAAATATGAAATTAACCCCATCCCAAGAAATAATAGAGCAGTCTAAGTTCTAATGAGATTACCCCATTCTAGATAATGACCCTGAATTTAATAAATCAAACAAAGCAGCAATTAAGGACAGCCATCCCTTTCTCCCTCCTCCCAGCAGGAGGAGGAAAGGGCCATCCCGGAATTTCAGGGACCAGACACTCTGAGAGACACAGCTCATAGGGGAACCATTACTGGGTGGCTTCTCCTTTTGAAATGCCTTCTCTCACCACTCCGAATGATGGAGTCCTTCTGAGCAATAGCTGGTGTCAAATTGGACAAAAGTAGAAGGTGGTTTCTTGAGGGAAGAGGGGGTTTTAGTGTTCAGACAATGGACTGTAATCTGATTAGTTTTGTTTTTAATTGCTTTCCTTTTCTGGTATTTGTTTTGTCATATGATAACCAAAAGAGCTTCATTCATTCCATATGTCCTGGACAACCTCTAATGGTTTAGGAGCCATTGAAAGACTTCACATAAATTTGGATGATTTAACAGCAGCCGGTGGTCCGCGGGCTACTGGTGTTCATAAGGTCTGAAAGGTTGGCGACTGCTGTCCTAGAGCATAGATTTCCTGATGTCTTCATGGTTTATTTACTGCTCAGGGCACTGGTTACATGGCCAGGCGCCGGAGGTCAGCTTTAAACAGCACAGTGCTCACTGTAACACACACGTGTTCAGCCTTTCCCGTGGCTGGTCAGTGGCAGGAAGGAAGCACCACCACACACACTTCAAGGTTAGAGTGTGTTTCCAACTCAGAGAAATAAATACTATTGTCTGGAGTGAATGTCTCACACAGGCAACACGGACACAGCACATCTGTCTGCAGCCTCTTCTGGCCCCAGTGTCAGGTCATCAGGGAAACTGTGCCACTAGGCCCACAGGTCACCTACTATGTAAGGCCACCCGGCAGACACTGGGAGACATACAGACCTACCTAATACATAGAAGCAAGCACAAAGAGGCAGCCAAAATGAGGAGACAAATAAACATCTTTCAAATGAAAAAACACAAGAAAACTCCAGAAAAATGTAGGTAAGCAATCTACCAGATATAGAGTTCAAAACAACTGTTATAAGGATGGTCAAGAAACTCAGTGAGAACTTCAAAAAGATAGTAACCTTTAAAAAGGATATAGAAGTCATAAAAATGCCATCAGAAATAGAGAATACACTAGCAGGAATCAATAACAAATGAGATGGAGCTGATGATGAGATTAATAATTTTGAAGAAAGGCAGCAGAAGCAGACAATACTTAATCAGAATAGAAAAAAAGAATAAAAAATGGAGAGCATTTTAAGGGACCTCTGGGATAACATCAAGCATAACAACATTTGCATCATAGCGGTACCAGAGGGAGAAGAGACAGAGCAAGGGATTGAGAACCTATTTGAAGAAATAATGACTAAAACCTTCCCTAACCCTGGTGAAAGAAATAGACATACAAGTCCTGCAAGTGCAGAGTCCCAAACAAGATAAACCCAAAGACACAACATAATGGAAATGGTAAAGGTTGAAGACGAAGAGAGAATCTTAAAAGCAGCAAGAACAATACAGTTAGTTACCTACAAGGGAGTTCCCAGAAGATTGTCAGCTAAATGCTCAACAGAAAATTTTCAGGCCAGAAATGATTGGCATAGAATATTCAAAGTGATGAAAAGCAAGAACTATAGCCAAGACGACTCTACCTGGCAAGGTTATCATTTAAAATGGAAGGAATAATGAGCTTCCTAGACAAGGAAAAGTTAAGGAGTTTATCACCACAATACCAGTATTACAAGAAATATTAAAGGGACTTACTAGTATTTAAGATGTAGCAAAAGAAAAAACAACAACATAAATGTGAATAATAAAATGGCAATAATTATGTACCTATAAATAACCACTTTAGATGCAAATTGATTAAATGCTCCAATTAAAAAATGTAGGGTAGCTGAATGGATAAGAAAATGAGATTGATGCATTTGTTGTCCACAAGAGACCCCTTGTAGACACACAGACCTTGAAAGTAAAGGGAAGGAAAAAGATATTTCATGTAAATGGAAACAAAACAAGACAGAAAGCTGGGATGGCAATACTTATATCAGACAAAATAGACTTTAAAACAAAGGCCATAGTAAGAGACAAAAGACATTTCATAATCATAGTGGGATCAATCCAACAATAGGCTATAACCCTTGTAAACAATTACCTGTAGGTGCACCTAGCATAGAAGCACCTATAGGTAACTAAGCACCTAATGGACATAAAGGGAGAGAGAGACAGTAATACAGTCATACTAGGGGACTTTAACACCCTACTGACATCAGTGTAGATTTTTCCAAACAAAAGTAAACTAAGGAATGGTGGCCTTAAATGACAAAGTAGACCAGATAAATTTAATTGGTATTTTTAGAGCATTTCTCTCCAAAACAGCAGAATATGCATTATTTTCAAGTTGCACATAAAACATTTTCTAGGATAGACAACATGTTGGGCCACAAATAAGTCTCAATAAATGTAAGAAGATTGAAATAATTATCGAACATCTACTCTGACCACATTGGTATGAAACCAGAAATCAATTTCAAGAAAAAAAAAACAACCCTAAAAAACACAGAAACACAGGGAGGCTAAATAATATGCTAGTAAACAATGAGATCAAGGAAGAAATGAAAAGATATCTTGAAACAAATGAAAATGAAACACAGTGACTCCAAATCCAGCAAAAGCAGTCCTAAGAGGGAAATTTATAGTAGTACAGGCCTACCTCAAGAAACAAGAAAAATCTCAAATAGACAATATCACAGAACACAATTTCTTGTAGTCTCCCCTGTTGCCAGCAATTGGAGAGCTGAGCTAGACACATGCTGAGTACATTGCCCGGTTTAGTAATAACTAGATTTGTCAAAGCTGAGGCTCCTTCACTCTCACAGTTTCATGAAAGTTGATCTAATTTTGCTCTCGCAATTGCCTCAGATTGGAAATTTCAATGTGCAGTATGTAACAGCTTTCTTTCTAGTGTTTTTTTTGTGTAGCAATTGTGGCCATTGTGTTTGGGGGTATTTTCTTTTCTTTTCTCTATATTTTTAAATTTAAAA